GCTGGGGTCAGGAAGTGCAGGCTTCACTACCAGTCTGTATGGCTTCTCTCCCTCAAAATTTCCACTGCAAGGGAAAGGACCACATACTGTATCATAGACACGACGTGTACCATTGAGATGGGGGCATGTTAACTTGTTGGCATTACGGTAGGCATTTGTATGCCTTGTAGAGATTGTGTACTCCCTCTTCAACCATCTGTTGCTGCTGTGTAAATCACATTTTAGTGTGGGTTGTGTTAGCCAGGTATATAAGCACACGGAAACGGAAATGCTTGTTCTGTTTCCATATCCCCCCTCTCAAGACAACTTCGTGTAAAAGACATATATGGGTACACTATAGTCACAGTGTAAGGTTGTGAAATTGACTTGTGTCTGCGCCATGTCCCCCTCCCGCCTCCTCAAGAAGCCAGATCAGTGCCACAGCGTGGCCACGTGTGCCCACGTCCACTGCCCAAGCAAAGACAGAGAGGTCACTGAGGTCAGTGTGACTAGGCCTCACTCACTGCCCCTTTAATTCAGAGTAATCATGTTTTACCGTATAGTGAGGGAATGGCAGGGTTGCTCACTATGCACACTACTTCTGAATTGGCATATATACAGTCAGTGGCCAAGCTTTAAGTTGCCAAATCTCTAGACCAGTTCAACTTACCTTAGGTGAAAATATTGCAGGTGCTAGTGAGACTTGGTTTAGCTTCGTTACTTTTCAATGGGGGTATTGCACTGTAGTCGAGAATGGATATTCATCGTGGAGTGAAGTGATGTGTTGCATTTCTTTCTGTGCAGTGTAAGGACCCGAAGAGAGTGTTGGAGTGTCTCAAGAAGGCTGGTCGCATAGCTCAGCAGTGTATGGATACCTCAGTCCAGGTCCAGCTCTGGAACATATAACTCACACTAAGGCCAACGATAGTGGCCTTTATGCATATGCAGAGGTCTAGCAACATTATTGTACAGAATATTATGTATTGCTCTGCTGTACCAAACTTGTGTGGTGTTTTGCCTTCTATTATACTGACGTGTTTGTTTCTACCTAGAGTTTAGCTTCATTGGGTACTTTTCAATGGGGTAATATTGCACGGTAGTTGAAAATGGATTTCATCGTGGAGTGAAGTGATGTGTTGCATCTCTTTCTGTGCAGTGTAAGACCCGAAGAGAGTGTTGGAGTGTCTCAAGAAGGCTGTGCGCATAGCTCCGCAGTGTATGGACACCTCAGTCCAGGTCCAGCTACTGTTGGAACTCTCAACACCTACATGCTCTTTCTACGAGAAGGGAAAGAACAGTTAACTAAAGCATGATGTCCCCCACAGAGGAGTGAGAGAAGGAGGTGAGTGGAGAGTAAGAGTGTTCCCACTGCCACTATGCAGCCTATGGAGTGGTGTCCCCATGACCAGAGTTCCAGTGGATGATGTGGCCATGTATGAGATAGTGGGTCAGCCACCATCATCTTCAGCCAGACCTACTGCACACCCTCCCTCTGATTACCCACACTCATCCCAGGGACCTCCCCTCACTGACTCTCCCTATTGATGTCATCGCCAACCAGTAGAAAGACAAGATGGTATGTAGACGATAGATACACGCTGTTTATCTTGTATGTGTCTTCTGTTCTTACTTTATGACAACAATCGTGGAGTGATGTGATGTGTTGCATTTGTTTCTGTGCAGTGTAAGGACCCGAAGAGAGTGTTGGAGTGTCTCAAGAAGGCTGGTCGCATAGCTCAGCAGTGTATGGATACCTCAGTCCAGGTCCAGCTCTGGAACATATAACTCACACTAAGGCCAACGATAGTGGCCTTTATGCATATGCAGAGGTCTAGCAACATTATTGTACAGAATATTATGTATTGCTCTTGCTGTACCAAACTTGTGTGGTGTTTTGCCTTCTATTATACGGATGACTGTGTTTGTTCTACCTAGAGGTTTAGCTTCATTTGGGTACTTTTCAATGGGGGTATATATTGCACGGTAGTTGAAAATGGATATTCATCGTGGAGTGAAGTGATGTGTTGCATCTCTTTCTGTGCAGTGTAAGGACCCGAAGAGAGTGTTGGAGTGTCTCAAGAAGGCTGGTCGCATAGCTCCGCAGTGTATGGACACCTCAGTCCAGGTCCAGCTACTGGTGGAACTCCTCAACACCTACATGCTCTTCTACGAGAAGGGAAATGAACAGGTAACTAAAGCATGATGTCCCCCACAGAGGAGTGAGAGAAGGAGGTGAAGTGGAGAGTAAGAGTGTTCCCACTGCCACTAATGCAGCCTATGGAGTGGTGTCCCATGACCAGAGTTCCAGTGGAGATGTGGCCATGTATGAGATAGTGGGTCAGCCACCATCATCTTCAGCCAGACCTACTGCAGACCTTCCCTCTCATTACCCACACTCATCCCAGGGACCTCCCCTCACTGACACTCCCTATGATGTCATCGCCAACCAGTAGAAAGACAAGATGGTTGTGTAGAGGATAGATACACGCTGTTTATCTTTGTATTTGTCTTCTGTTCTTACTTTATGACAACATCTATTGAAGAATTCTGATACACTGTGTTTGTTCTACCTAATGCCCACTTGGCATGCTTTGTGTGTGTAGTGACCACGGTTAACATAGTCATAGCTAGGGCAAGCATGGCAGAAGACAGCATGGCAAAGCTCTGTCTGTTGGTGGTAGTTTTACTGCTAGCAGGAGTTAGCTCTCAGTCCTACCCTCACTTTGAGTTCAGAGGAGATGTTCTGGTAAACAACTCTTTCATAGTTCGTGTGTCTCCAGTAAACATTGGAGAAGGTCACAATGACTCGCTGCATTGTGTGACTGACAACTCAGAGTGTTGCAGCAATGGACAAGGTGATTGGTATGATGAGATGGGGAGACAAGTCCAGCAGGGATCAGATGGAGAGGGTGACCTGTATGTCACTAGAGGAGATGGAGTGGTCTATCTCAACCGCAAAAGAGGAGGAAGTTCAGGAATGTGGAGATGTGATATACCTGATAGTAATGGTGTGAACCAAAGTATCTACATCTACCTTGGGACTCCAGAAACAGGTAGCTATAGGACTTATCAGTCTCCTTTTGTGTTCATTTGCTAAAAATCACAGGTGCATATTTCATACCAATGAACTTTTACTTCACTCTGGACTCAGAGGCAAATGAGGATCCTCCTGAGTTCACTCTCACATGTCAGAGTAGGGGAGGACCAGTCACAGAGGTAGTGTGGAGCAGGACTACAGGAGGAAACACAGTGACAGTAGAGGAAGACAGTAGCCACACCACCAGTCAGATCATAGTGGACACATCAAGCAACAGTGTCTATAATAACACTCTGAGAGTCAGGGGAAGAGAGACAACTGTAGCATATGGATGTACTGTGAGCAACAACAGGCATGAGTATGTCCAAGGTTCCATGCTTGCATCAGCAGGAGAATCATTCGAGGTATGGTATCAAATCTGGCTGCAATCTAAACTATTACTTATATTAGCTGCCATGGAACCTACAAGTGTCAGTGCTACCTACAAGACCCCCACCAGTATCTCACTAGAGTGGACATTTGCCATGACACCCATCTATGACTATAGCTATGTGGTCTACTATGAGTCTGGAGGAGAGAGTCACAGTGTGTCCTTCACTGTCAGTGGGAGATCCAGAGACAATAGTCATCTACTGACTGGTCTTCCAGTTGGAGGGATCCACACTATCTCTCTAGTGGCTCTGGTAGACCTTCCCAGTCCTGTGGTTGGACCTGTCACTCCTGGTAAATATGCACAGTTTGGGCGCTTTCTTTCTTTTAAACTTCACCACAGTGTCAGCGGAGTCTCCAGAGGTGGTGGTGTCAGGAGAAGGGTCAGGAGTGGTGGGACCTCATACACACTGACATGTAGAGTCAGTCTACCCAGTGGAGTGGAGCCAGACTCTCTTGATATCCAGTGGCTGGGACTACCGCCAACGCACAGCCTGTCATGACCACTGCTGGAGTCTACATCAGCAATGTAACACTGAACCCTCTACTGCCAAACGCCCTGGATCCTTTACCTGTACTGCCAGCTACACAGCCAATGGGGTATCATCAAGACTAGCACAGGCTACCATCAACATCAGTGAGTTATTAATGTAGATGCCACCATCACATACATGGTATTGCAGATGTTGGTGAGATGTCAGTGAAGCTGGTTGGTTCAGGATCAAGGGAAGTAGGTTCAGTCTACACTCTCACCTGCACAGTGGCTCTCTCCCACAGAGCTAGAGACAGCTCTGTCTCCATCCAGTGGCACGGACCATCCACTGATGAACAAACTGTTGACACAACTGACAATAGAGAGCTCACCAGTCAACTCTCTCTAGACCCACTATCACTGGCTCATGGAGGAGACTACACCTGTACTGCCAGCTACACTGTGGATGGAGGGACAACTGTTACAACAAGTGACACAGAAAGAGTTATACCCATTAGTAAGTTCTCTCCATCTAATCTACTGGCATTCTTTATCAATACCTACACATAAACAGTTGCACCTCCATCTGTGGTGCTCAGAATAAGTGAAGACACTATCCTAGTAGGAGAAGATGTGGTAGTATATTGTGATATTGATCTGATTGGAGTGGTGAGAGGAAGAGATGTAGCAGTGGAGGTGACTTGGTTTCAAGAGGGAGTCCCAGTGAGACCTGACTCAAGACTCACCATATCTGGAGCCACTGGTGATGTGGGTGGTGTACACAGTAGCCTCACATTCAGTCCTGTCCACTTCTCTGACATGGCCACATACGAGTGTCGTGTTACCCTCACTCCTCTCCTGGGACCTGCTAGTCCTGTCTCCTCTTCTGCCTCCATCTTTCTCAATATCTCAGGTTTGTGAGTTTTAAAAGTTTGCTGTAAAATTTATTACACTTATTTAGAGCCGGTGGACCCAGTGAGACCAGAAGACGTCACATTCAGGGAAGTACAGTCAGACAGTGTCACGGTCCAGTGGAGAGTGTCCCACATATCCTACTCTCCAGAGACATATGTAGTACAGTATGGCACTAGTAGGGAGAGTCTGATCCACAATAGCAGCAGGACACACAGTGAAGAGGGTGTGATGACCTACTCAGTCAATTGTCTGGTCTGAGAGACAACACCACCTACTATGTTCAAGTCCTGGCCACCAACACTGCACTCAGATCTAGTAGGAGCAGTGTTGAGAGCTTCACAACACTTGTCACTCCACAGATGACAGCAGGTCAGATGAGGATGTGTGTGTGTCTCTGTACTGTGCTGTTTGTGAATGGTGCACACAGACATGAGGTACCACATTCCTCTAATCCTGTGCCCCATTACGTAAAGTAAGCTCCTGTTTATAGAGTGTAAGAGGAATGCCCCATGTTGATTCAGGGGTATAACCAGGGGTAAATTAAACCTTAGTGTAGGTGTCCTAATACTGCCACCTCTGAGCAACTAAGAACCTTGTAAGTTTTAGTACATGACACCTCACTCAGGAACTGAAAGTAATGAGTCAGCTTCAATTGTTGGAGGTATCCTCTCACTCGTCATCATCTTGATCATTGGAGTCTCTATATTGGGGTTTGTCATACTTATTCTTAAGATACGGACCCTCAAATTAAAACCGTAAGTTCATCATTCTGTAACCCTTGGCATACACACTAACAGGTTCCTATACTTCCGTCCCCCACAGAGGAGTGAGAGAAGGAGGTGAAGTGGAGAGTAAGAGTGTTCCCACTGCCACTAATGCAGCCTATGGAGTGGTGTCCCATGACCAGAGTTCCAGTGGAGATGTGGCCATGTATGAGATAGTGGGTCAGCCACCATCATCTTCAGCCAGACCTACTGCACACCCTCCCTCTGATTACCCACACTCATCCCAGGGACCTCCCCTCACTGACTCTCCCTATGATGTCATCGCCAACCAGTAGAAAGACTTTGTATTTGTCTTCTGTTCTTATAACACGAAAAATATCAAAAACAAAAGGAAAGTCTATGGCTAATACTGCCAAGTCTGTAGAATGTGGACTGGTCTCTATTAAAAGCCTATGTGTGTCCTCGCCAGTATGTAACTCACACTAAGGCCGACGATAGTGGCCTGCAGATAATAGAGGTCTAGCAACAATATTGTACAGTATTGCACTAGTGTGGTGTTTTTTCCTTCTATTAAAGAATACTGATACACTGTGTTTGTTCTACCTAATGCCCACTTGGCAAGCTTTGTGTGTGTAGTGACCACAGTTAACTTAGTCATAGCTAGGGCAAGTGTGCAGAAGACAGCATGGCAAAGCTCTGTCTGTTGGTGGTAGTTTTACTGGTAGCAGGAGTTAGCTCTCAGTCCTACCCTCGATTTGAGTTCAGAGAGAGATGTTCTGGTAAACAACTCTTTCATAGTTCGTGGGTCTCCAGCAAACATTGGAGAAGGCCACAATGACTCACTGCATTGTGTGACTGACAACTCAGAGTGTTGCAGCAATGGACAAGGTGACTGGTATGATGAGAGGGGAAGACAAGTCCAGCAGGGACCAGATGGAGAGGGTGATCTGTATGTCACTAGAGGAGATGGAGTGGTCTATCTCAATCGCAGAAGAGGAGGAACTTCAGGAATGTGGAGATGTGATATACCTGATAGTAATGGTGTACAGCAGAGTATCTACATCTACCTTGGGACTCCACACAAGGTAGATATCTATTATCAAGTGACTCATTCTAAAGTATAAACAGGTCAATTGACATCACCAGTCATGTACTTCACTCTGGACTCAGAGGCAAATGAGGATCCTCCTGAGTTCACTCTCACATGTCAGAGTAAGGGAGGACCAGTCACAGAGGTGTTGTGGAGGAGGACTGCAGAAGGAAACACAGTGACAGTAGAGGAAGACAGTAACCACACCACCAGTCAGATCATAGTGGACACATCAAGTAACACTGTCTATAATAACACTCTGAGAGTCAGGGGAAGAGAGACGACAGTAACATATAGATGTACTGTGAGCAGCAACAGGCATGAGTATGTCCAAGGTGCCATGCTTGCATCAGCAGTGAGAATCATTCGAGGTATGGAATTAAAAATGACTGCAATCTAAACTATTACTCTATATTAGCTGCGATGAAACTCACAAGTGTCAGTGCTGCCTACAAGACACCCACCAGTATCTCACTAGAGTGGACATTTGCCAGTCAACCCATCTATGACTATAGCTATGTGGTCTACTATGAGTCTGGAGGAGAGAGTCACAGTGTGTCCTTCACTATCAGTGACAGACCCAGAGAAAATAGTCATCTACTGACTGGTCTTCCAGTTGGAGGGATCCACACTATCTCTCTAGTGGCTCTGCTAGACCTTCCCAGTCCTGTGGTTGGACCGGTCACTCCTGGTATGATGTGTAGCTAAACCATGTAGCTAACCATTACTATTCTCGCACGTGATTTCAGCTGTTGAAGCTCCATCAGTCAATGTATCTGGAGAAGGAATAGCAGTTGCTGGAAGTTCATATACAGTGACATGTGCAGTCATTCTACCTAATGGAGTACATGGAGTCTCTCCCAGTATCCAGTGGAAAAGGCCCAACTTTCCATTTGGTCCAGGATCATCCATCTCAGCCACCGATGAAGGTTTTTTGGCAACTCTGCAACTGCAGTCACTCCAAGGAACAGATGTAGGGGAATATATCTGCCAGGCTGGTTATTTCTTTGAAAACCTTACATCTCCACTTGTTACGGACTCTATCACTCTTGAGTTTGCATTTGGTGAGATTTTAATAACACATACATAGTCATACTTGCCTCTTCTTCAGCAGATTTCGAGATGTCAGTGGAGCTGGTAGGTTCAGGATCAAGGGAAGTAGGTTCAGTCTACACTCTCACCTGCACAGTGGCTCTCTCCCACAGAGCTAGAGACAGCTCTGTCTCCATCCAGTGGCACGGACCATCCACTGATGAACAAACTGTTGACACAACTGACAACAGAGTGCTCACCAGTCAACTCTCTCTAGACCCACTATCACTGGCCTCATGGAGGAGACTACACCTGTACTGCCAGCTACACTGTGGATGGAGGGACAACTGTTACAACAAGTGACACAGAAAGAGTTATACCCATTAGTAAGCTCTTTTCATCGTATCTACTGGCATTCTTTTATCAATACCTACACATAAACAGTTGCACCTCCATCAGTGGTGGTAAGAATAAGTGAAGACATTATCCTAGTAGGAGAAGATGTGGTAGTATATTGTGATATTGATCTGATTGGAGTGGTGAGAGGAAGAGATGTAGCAGTGGAGGTGACTTGGTTTCAAGAGGGAGTCCCAGTGAGACCTGACTCAAGACTCACCATATCTGGAGCCACTGGTGATGTGGGTGGTGTACACAGTAGCCTCACATTCAGTCCTGTCCACTTCTCTGACATGGCCACATACGAGTGTCGTGTTACCCTCACTCCTCTCCTGGGACCTGCTAGTCCTGTCTCCTCTTCTGCCTCCATCTTTCTCAATATCAGTACTAGGAGCAGTTTTGAGGACGTCATAACAATCACAACAATGGAGATTACTTCAGGTATTGTTGTAGTAGCCCAGATAGAACAGAATCCTGTGCACAAAACCATACTATGAAATAAGCCACACAACCAAACGTACTAAGTTGGTAATACAGCTTTCATTATGCCAGTGGATTAATGTGTTCTTGATCCATTATTGTCATAGCTCTAAACTGATTGCTGTGTTTGTCACAGCTTCAGTAGTCCTGCCCACTAACACCAGAAAGAGCAGTGCCAAAACTGCACTACCTACCATGAACATGAAATCAGGTATGTAATCAGTTTGTTTAAGACTATTGGCTAGTAAACCCATCAGTCACTCAGTTTATGAAATGTACTGTGTTAATTACGGTGATAGTTAAAGCTTAGCATATTCTGCCACATCTGACTAGCGTAAGTTTATGATTGTATAACTGCTTGCAAAAACTGTCAACAACCACATCACATAGGTCAACCTGCCTCATGTCAAAGTGAAAGTAATGAGTCAGCTTCAGTTGTTGGAGGCATCCTCTCACTCGTCATCATCTTGATCATTGGAGTCTCTATATTGGGGTTTGCCATACTCATTCTTAAGATACGGACCCTCAAATTAATGCTAGAAAAACAGTAAGTTCATCATTCTCTAAAACTTGGCATATAATAAGATCCAATATTTCCATCCCCCACAGAGGAGTGAGAGAAGGAGGTGAAGTGGAGAGTAAGAGTGTTCCCACTGCCACTAATGCAGCCTATGGAGGGTGTCCCCTGACCAGAGTTCCAGTGGAGATGTGGCCATGTATGAGATAGTGGGTCAGCCACCATCATCTTCAGCCAGACCCACTGCACACCCTCCCTCTGATACCCACATCATCCCAGGGACC